AGGTTTATATCCTTTTGTGGCTATTAAAGCACTTGAAAGAGCTCCACCTTGCTTTCGTTGTTTGAAGTGGATTAGTGTGGGGGATGTTCAGGTGCACCTTCAAACCCTTGGAGAAAGTGCTGTAGCTCAGGCTGAGATCCTTACCTTCTCCAGGATCACTGAGCACTGGGATGGGTGCAGGTGAAAGGGGCTGTCCAGATGGCTCCCAGTCCTCATCAGAAAATTTGAACATGGCCTGAGTTCTGCTGTGTTAATTCAAGTGTTGATGGCTGCAGTTTAGGTACACTGTTAAGAAAAATACTTGCTGTTGTCAGAGGCTGTAACACAAAGGTGGGTAGCTCGAAGGCACAAGACTTGAGTATGAATTTGTGCATGTTTGCTTTTCTTTCCTGACTTGTACTTTAATAGCACTATGTATTTTCATTTGCAAAGCAGTTACTAACAAATGAAATACAAAATGCACCTATTTATATGCTGCTTATGGTCTGCAGTTGATGGTGATTTGTCGTGCAGGTTGACTGTCAGGCTCCTAGCACTGCAGCATTGCCCCTCTCTTGCCCTACATTCCGCTTCCTACCGCCCAGCATCCTCACTCAGCTGAATGGTGTCTTTGTTTGGAAAGAATGCAAACAAAATTCGTGCTGTCTGAAAAGGGCTAGCTCATCATTTGTAGCTCTGAAATGGACTGGAAAATAACTTTTTCTCCCTCCCTCTTGTGTTGATGGCATTCTGTCTTTCACTTTTCAAGAATAGTTGGTTTGTGATTTAGGAACAGAAAAGTGATCTTTATGAAACCTTGGCAGGGGCTTGAGAAGGTGTAAAGTGATATAGAACTGTTTGGATGCAGTGATTATGGATTTAAAACACACTGTTCTGCTGACGCAAGTCCTGGGTCTTCATTAATGTCTTTTGCCTGAGAGCAATGGAAACTCAAAACCATTGAGCAAATAGTTCTGTATTGACCAAGACATTCAGATATTTACACTTACATGAATAAAGCTAGAATGTTTTGTCAGGTGTCGTTGACAATAACCTCTGCTGATGTAGGGAGGGAAGAGTTTGACTTCGGTGCCTGATGCACAAGTCTGACCTTCCAGCTTCTGAAACTCCTCTTGGTCTGCGTGTTTACAGTGACTAGGTAGAAGTGACTTTCAGTATTTGTGTGAGGGCAGACCTTGTTTGCACATACCATGAGATCAGCTAATGGTGGTACTTAAGCCTTGATACTTGAAGACCAGTAACCTAAAGAATCCATAAACAGCTTCTGTCTTTTTTTAAAGCTGTGAGTTCAGTTTTTGGTCAGACCTGGGCCCATATGTTGCTATAAGCAACTGGTACAAGACTTGAAATTGGAAGGAAACCCAGAAGTGAGCCAGAAGCCTGGGATGATCTGCCTGTAAGGAAACTTCATTGTTAAACTGTGTGAGCTATACTGAAGCGTAACAAACATTTCCAAATTTTTATTTGGAAGTATGGAGTTAAATTAAGTGTTTAATAGGCTGGCAGTATACTTCCAGGTTTTTCTGTGAATTCCAGTTTGCCTTGTTGAAGTTGATGAATATCTTATCAACACTCAATGAGGGAGTAATTTCATGCTCCTCTTTAATTCAGTAGTTCTGTCATTATCCTCCTGTGATAGTAGTATGTCCATTCTGCACGCCATTCAATTTTTCTGCCCGTTACCCTCTTAAACTCTTTCCTGAACTTAATGTTACTAGAAACTCCTCATACCTGTAATCTCTTCTCTCTGAAGCCTTTGTGTTTCTGTCAGCACAATGTTGCTGGTGACTTCTTTGGAAAGACCTAGGACTGAATGGACATTATAGCAATGCAGAAGTCTAGTTTTTCCAGTCTGTCAAAACTACTTTCAAAGTATTTAGAGGCAAATAGTTATTGCTATTTATAACAATCTTTCTGTTACGAAGGCTGAACTAGTATTATATTGTAATTGGAATGGAAGCTGAGTATAACATGAGATTAGAAGATTTATTTTATCCCCAGATACTAGAGTTAGTTAAATCCCTCACAGTGCAGAGAAGAGTTAATTTCCTTGGCTGGGTTAATAGCTTACTTTATCTTAACGCATAAAAGTAGCTGTCAAACATCCTGCTTTATCTGGGCAGAACGTAAAAGTAAGTGTTGTTGTATAGTATACTTTTATTTATGATCTTTTGGCAAATGCTGTTTTCATTTGTTCAATAGCATTGCTGTGGAGCGCTACATCATAGCAAACAACTTGGTTAAATGCTGCAAAACATGGGGATAGTTAAGTATATTTGGGGCAATTTTGTATGTTGGCTATTAATCATTCAGGGGGTTTATTTTTCAAACCACATACATACGATACTAGCTATGTTGATTAATAAATTTAACTTAACATGAATGATGTTGTAGTGCTTTGGCTAATTGGAAAAGAATGGAGCACTGACCTGAAACGGAGGTCTGAAGCTGACATCCTAGAATTAGTGGACAACCTCAGCCTTTAGTCCCTGTACTGCTTTAAATCCTTAGAAATGGGGAATTTTGCCCCTTTACACTCTAGTTCATGTTTATGAAATACTTGGTAACCATAAGAGGCTCCACGAGGAGCTGCATTTGGTATTAATTTAAGGGTTATTCTCCATTTTCCTTTTTGACGGCATACGCGGTAGGTGTCCATCTAGCAAGTGCCATCCCCGTTCCTGCCCTGTGCTACACAGGCCTGTGGGGAGGGGGGTTCTTCCCCCCCCCCCCATCTAAAATTGTGTAGCCTTTCTAGAGAGGCTCTGGTATCCTGATTTTTATGTGAAAAGATTTTGCTAATTTAATATTTCAATGTTAAAATGAAGTAGTGTGTGCAGTATATAGAGCTAAAAGGAGTTGGACTTGGTGGAGTTCAAAGCAGACTTTCCATGCAGACTTCTTACATAATAGTGTGTTTCATAAATTCTATTTCATCTTACTTGGTATGAAATGACCTTGTAGATTTAGGAGGGAAGTTTGTGATTGCAGCTGCTGCCTTTTAAAAAGTCTAAATATAAACAGATTTTTGGAAAGCATGAAAAACTATCAGCGGTGTTTCTCTGATTTGAATTGAAAGTCAGAACTCTGGCATCTCATTACTGTCAGAGCATTTTGAGAAGATGGCCTGTAATGTTCCTGCTCCTCTGATGTAGTCTGTGCTACTAATTGTTGTAGGCAGGTTTGGGAAGAGAAGGTTGGAACAAGACATGGTCCTCAAGCCTCTTCTGCTATGGAGGAGCTGGTGGGGGAGGTCCTCATCCTGGCTTGTCTTGTGTGGCATCTGCCTCTGAGCCCATCTCTTCTGGGGGAAGAGCAGTTAGTTTGCACACATTGCACAAATGAGGTTTCACTAAGGTCTTACACAATGGTATTCATGTTTCCCTGCCTGGGATGGAAATTTCTCACCAGGTGCCTGCAAGGTTGTATTTGCTTATTCTAGGGTTGCCTCTCCATCAGATCATCGTTACTCTGTGAAAGTAAAATGGTAATCTCTCAGCCTTCAGTCTTTCTTTGTTGTCATCTGAAAACAGCTGCTGGTTCACAGAAGAAATTCTTAGTTAACAGCCATGTAATGTTACATTTTGCACTGCTGACACCTGTCCCTTGTTTTTATTCTGTCTTCAAGATTATCAGTTTCTTATTTTAATTGTCCTTTGTACTGCGCCTTTCACTTTTGTAAGTAGTAGACTTCAAACAGGACAATTTATTATACCAGAATTAATAATGAAAATATTAAATACTGGTTGCAGTATTGATCTTGGCTAATGATCAGTCTTTGGTTTGATAGTTTCTTCTTTCCTAAGACTTCACAGGACAGCTCTCCTTCATCTCCTCAGTCCTTGCAAATCCTGTAGTTAACTAACTTCCTTCCGATACCATTTCAGCTTTGCCAGAAATTAATGTGAATTATTTTGTATTAGTTGGTATTAAAAGTAAAAACCTTACTCATGCTCTGTCAAAATGGTCTCTGCTTACTCTTGAGTTTTGAGAGTCCTGGTTGCACACTGCTGTCAAGTCCTGACTTTGCTTGTACCATGTCAGAGGCTAGAGCAGGGCTGGAACCAGACAAAGAGACATGGCAGTTGGGTGCCAGCTTATGCTGATAACTTGCTTTTTATTGCTGGTTGAAAGCTTCATGTTGCTTAAACCCTTCTGCTTACATTATTGAAGCTTGAGGTTGACTGTCTATAAACCATGCATGTGTGTGTTTAGCTCAAGAGACAATTTAGGGTTTCTGCTGCTTGCTTCCACGGTGTAAAAAGCAAGATGACTATTTTTAATAGGCTGGAGTCTTGTCACATGCTCATGTGTAGGCTCTTGCCCTGACTGCTTTGAGTTATGTTAAACAGGTAACAAGCATTAGGATTTCTGTAGTTAAGGTTATTCTTACAGGTAGATTACTTGAACGAGATTAATGGAAAGGAGAATCTTGGGGAAAAGTGGCTTTTTTTTTTTGAGAGGTTTCTGAAATGGTGGTATCGCAAGGATTAGGTCTTAAGAGTAAAAAAAAAATAATAAAAATTCACCACAATATTTCACATAATTTTTCAGCATATGCAAAATATGTGGTTTAATCATTTTGGGGGAAAGAATGTTTTTAGAAAACAGGAAAGCTTGCTGTTTATTTAGGGTGTTTAAATTTATACCCAAACTCCCAAATTTCTTGGTTTTGGAAGTTCTCCAGAAAAATTGCAAAAACCTGATGTTTTTATTTCTTAAAAATAAGCAAGAAACTTAAAAGCTTTTATAAGTCAGATCATCTTAACAGTGTTAGCTGAAGGTGTCCATTGACGGATTGTAGACCCTTCGAGGCCCTGTTTGCACTGGTCGGCACGCTCCTCTTGCGTTCCAGCTTACTTGGACATCCTTGGTTTACCTGACATTACAGTAAAAGAAGAAAAAAGCTGCTCTTCTGTCTGGAGCAGTTATGAATTTATGTGGAATTGCTTTTTTGTAAATAAATACTAATTACTTATTTATGTGTTTGTTTATTTTAGGGATAGACTTCAAGATTAAAACTGTTGAATTACAAGGAAAGAAGATCAAGCTACAGATATGGTAAGTAATATACCCAAGAAGCTATGGGGTGGCATCCTTCTGGATGGCTTCTTTCAGAGGCAGGTTTTTGTGAGAAGAGTTTACTCTTTCTGGAATTACATTCAGGTATCTAATTTTGTAACTGTGTTTTGCATTTTCAGTAGTGGTAAAGCTCCATGTGTATTCCCCTGAACATTTTTTAAGAAATGGGGAAGAGATCTCTGTGTTGCGTTTGTAACCACTGTTACTGACTGCTCCTTTGGACAGGCTGTTGGCAAATCTCCCATTTGGGAGGACAGGATCCTCGCAGTCTGTGATTTAGTGGGAAGTGTTTTAAAACTGGAATTTTTAAATTAGGAGTTGCCTCGAATCTATGGCTATAAATTGACTAGTAGTCTTGCTTTGTGTCAGCAAGAAAGTGTAATCCACGTCTGCGCTTATTTTATGTTTCTCAGTGGTAAACAGTGGAGAGTTTCTCAGCTGGCTGAAAACATGGCTGCATTTCTGTAGGAAAGTCTAACATGAGGCAAAACTTAAACTCTTCGCTTTTAGCTTGCTGTGCATGTCTAACTAGAGATTTTTTTTCTAATAGCCCTGTAACAAGTCAGGTGAGGAAAGCTAATGGCTTTTCCTAGCCTGCATGTTTGTTTAGACTCCCTCCTCAACCATGTACACATATTGCTGGTGCATTCTTCAGCTTTACTGAGAGTTCAGAATTTGAATTTGTTTAGAACTTGAATTTGCCCATTTTTTCCCCCACTAATAAAAATCTTTTATGGCTTGATGATGTTTGTAGATGCAGATGAATGGGTTCCAGTTAGAAGGAAGCACTGGTCTCCCTCTGTGTGAGGAAAACTGGCTGAATTATTATCCTTTCTAATGAATGTATTCTGGATCCTTCTCGTTACCATCACTCTGAGTGTCCACTTTGTGTCTCAGTTGTTTCTTGTATCCCAGTCCTGCAAGCAGAAGTTGGCCAACTTAGTTATTTTGCTTTGTGCCCTGCAAGGGAAAGACTTGATGAAGTTGATTTAATTGTATGAACTGCGTAGCCTGTTGATAAGGAAGCACTTAGGTGATGAAGTAACTCGGTGTGCTGGAATGCTTCAGCAGGGATCCACAAAGAGTAACCGTGTTCATAAGGGCAATGTTTTAGATGGAAGGAGGAAGGATGGGTATAGATCAGCTGGGAACTGAGAGCATTAGCTGAAGAGGCATTCAGGTGTAATGCAGCTTCACTGATTGACTTGCTGGGCAGCTCTTGCTGTATGTGTTCACCAGACTGTTAACATTCAGATTTTCAACCCAGGTCAAACCATAACTTCTAACAATTATTTTGTGTTGTATTTTTTTACCCCAACAGAGTAGGTGCTGTGAACTACTGTGGGATAGAAAGGTAGAAACATTTGAATGACTTAAAGGAAGTGTTAGATTAAACTTAGGAAAAAATTATCATGAAATGTAAAAACTGAAAATATGGAATACTGAGGATGCTTAATGTGTATATAGATGAAGAAGCAAGCCATAATGAAGCTGTATGCATTGTGGGTTTTAGTGGCTTATGGAAGAGGGGTTTGGGTGAGCTGAGTTTTATGAAATTACAACTTTTAAACATTGCAAAGTTGGGAGGTTGTTGTCTGAATCTGCTTCTTGTTCCTGCCAGTTTAAAATTCTGCATTTGAAATGGAACTTGGAAAGCAGAAAACGAAGCTTCTATGGCGTGTGTCTTTGATGGAAAAATAAAAATAATAATAATAATAAAAAAAAAGGTAGGCTTTGTTGTTTCAAATCCTGTACAAGGAGTTTTGCCTAGCAGTGGTTTGGTGGCTAGAACAGTAGTGTCTTTTGGTGAAGATACTTTGTGCAATGCATCTATACTTAACCACCACCTCCTGTATTTAAACTCTCCCTGTACTTCTAGGAGTTGTGTAACATATTTCCAGAATTACACTTCACTCCCGCTGCAGTTTAGTAAGCAAGGGATGCATTTAGTGGAACATTTCCCTTGTAAACCCGAGGCTGTTCTTGTAGCTTTTCTTGGGTCCAGAGTATGGGTCATGCTTTTACAACTGGAGTAAATGCACAGGAAGCAGCTAATGTAGCTGGATCAACAGAACATGTCTTCTGAGTCGTAGGTAGCACTTCCATGGGGACACAGCTCCATACTTGATTAACCTGATCAGAAGATAACAAAAGACGAGTGGTGAAGAGAAAACAGACTTTCAGTTAAAGACAAGAGATGAGACCTGTGGCGCTTGTGTGCTTTCAGTTAGTATTGCATTGTAGGTGTGCTTGTGTTTATGGAGCATATCCATGCTCAGAATTTAGAGGAGGAATGACAGCTATTTCATTTGTGGGTTTTCCCCCTTATCTGAAAACTATCGTCCCGTTTGTGAGATTGCCTGTCAGTCTGCCCTGTTTCTTGTATGCACATCTTGAGCTGCTTCTGGTCGTTTACAGAGACAGGATGCAGGGTGCAATGACATTGGCTCATTCCACAAGTGTAAGTGCAGCCACAGCTCTCCAAAGTGCCACCATATCTCTGTCCAGCCTTTTGTAATGCTGTTTTCTTGCTTTCTGACAGTCCCTTTCATTGTTAGAAGCAAAGACAGTTTTGTCTTGTCATTGTTGCTGTTATTATTATTATCATCATCATTATTGTTCTTGGTGCTTATCCAGATTGAAACCTTTTTTTTTTCCAGAATAGTGACATGCAGCTGTGTTTGAAATGACAGGTGGTGACAGAATTTTGTACCTTAAAGAACTTAGTATGTGTTAGCCATTTCCCAAATATGACAGAGTTTCTTTGCATAGAGTTGCTCAACGTTTATGAAGGAGCTGTGTTCAGTGAGCCATCACGGGCAAAAGTGATGGCTGAACAAACCTGTCACTTACAGAATAAGGTTTCTACATCAGTGGGAGTGATTAAGTATTTGATTATGTAGCATTTGTTATTTACATGGAGAAAAGTGTATTTCTCTTCACATACAGAAAGCAATAGAAATAAACCATTCCTCAGTTTAAAATTACTACTCTCACCAATTTGTATAATCCTCCATCACTTGCATATTAAATCTTTCTCATGCTGTTGTCCTGGTGTAGGAATTGGTCTCTGGCTGCCTGCAAAGCAGTGCCACTGTGTTTTACTGTGGCTGGTACTGCCTTTTTACGCCTTGGGGTGGGGATGTGGTCTCAACGGGCAATTAGTTTGACAGAAAACAGATAAAACCAGCACTTCCTAATATAGCTCTGCTCCTTTCATGCACAGTGGGACAGCTACCTATCTCTCTCCCCAGGTTTGGAAAATGAGCAGATGTGGCAGTATCTCAGTCATGCCTTGACCTCTGAAATATATATAGAGGAGTAAAGCAAGAATACAAAGGTCAAGCTGAGTTAAACCTTGCCAGAGGTGATAAGCAACTTGATACTTCATAGCTATTAAAAAGTGGGGTTGCTATTCACTAAGGATCAAGCTAGGATTAAAGCGTTTTCATATTGCTCCAAATGTGAATGTGTCTGTTGCAAAACGATGTTGAAATGGGGAGAGGGGAGGTTGGGACAAGAGGAAGTGGAGAATGGTGGGACTGGGTAGCAAGTGGGACTATGTCTGTGTGCAGGGAGCTTCTGGAGGAGCCTCAGCTAGGCTGAGCAAGCCCGGTGTGGTGCATGGGCTGCAAGCAAGGAGGAGGATGGGACGCAGCTCTCAGGACTGGCCTTCTGAAGGAATGAGCTTGTTCAGGGCAGATCCATCAAGAGGACTACTGGTATGTCAAATTCTGGGTGGAAACACATAGAAGAATCAAGCGTCATCTTGGTTTGTCTCTTTAGAAAAATTGCTGATGTGACAGTATATGATACGGTGCAATATGGAAAGTCACCAGTGGTGGGCTTAGTACAGGATTTGGGAGAAAGGAATTAGAGTAAAGATTTGGGAGTAGAAATAGTTATGAAGGGTGGGGCCCGGGAGGGTTGACACTGATGAATGTCTTGAAAAATATTAATACAGTAATGCTCATAGTACGGAGAGGGGAGGGAGAATAAAAGAACCAAAATGAGAGATTACTGCTCCAGGAAAAGATGGAGTTATTGCGGAAGTGATGAAATGCTTTAGAGGAATAGAATAGTAGAGCTAAAAATTCAGCTATGAAGAGTGTAATATCATACACTCCAGGAACCTGGATAGAAGTGCTTTGAAATGGAAACCGAAAGGCTTAGGCATCCTGTAATTCACTAAACTTATTAGCATAATGTAGCAATTCAGAAATTAAATGTGATTTTTCTGATACCGTGGGTGCAATCATTTCCAGTGGGCAGGGAAGTGTCACAGTCTAACATAATATACAATTTTGATTAGCATGGCCTAGAAAGAAAGGGGTAAGTAGGATGATCAGAAGGATGTAATAGCTATTTTAGGAAGAACAACTAGAAAGATTAAGATTCTTCAGGATGTCAGACAAGCAACCAGAGCACATTTTTGAAATCATGAGTATACTTGAAAAGGTAGGTAGAGATTGATATAACTCTTTGCCTTTTCTAATACCAGAACATTAGTTCTAGTGTAAGACTAGAAGGTGGCATGTGCAAAACACAAGGAAATTAAGTTAAGCTCTGAAACTCCTCATCACAAGTTATTGTGTTAGCTGCAGAAGTACGTGGGTTTGCAAGGTATTTCATGAAGGAACAGTCTGGTTTGGACTGTTAAATAGATGGATGTGATCTCTGGCTCCAGAAGCCCTTGAACTACACAGAAGTGGAAGCTGGAAAACCTCTGGCCTGACCAGGTATGGCTCTTATGTGCTTCTGAGAATGCACAGAAGTCAGATCTGGGGTTTTCATCCTGGTGAAGCGGAAGCTGAAAGGAAATATTACTGTAATGTAAAAAATACATAGTGGTAGTAGACACAGAAGAGAAGGAAGGACTTTAAGCTCAAGGACAGTGGAAATCAAAGTTGCTGGAAATCCATCAGCAGGAGTGGGAGACTCTGGGAGAAGCTCTAGTTCAGTGTAATGGAAATGAAATA